CATAAACACGTGTTTATCACACCGATTCATTCGAAATCATAAATCCTTTTCGAAAAATATTATTGACGTTCATTTTGGCTGTCTTCTTTAGGTCAACTATGAAACCATTCAGCAAACAGTGAATTCCTTCTGAGCAATTTCCAAATATTCAAAGCACTTAAGGTCAAACAAAATTAATTAATTAAAAATATTTATTCGTGCGCTAAATAAAATTTCAAATTATTTTAGGCAAAAAATCTGGGGAACTTGAGGTGAGTCATCAGTTTGAAGAGATGATCACTTTGAGTTCACGAGCTCTAAGCTTGGATCTACTGGAAGAAAAGAACCTACATCCGCATTTTACAGGGGTAACTCATCATCAGTCACCAACTTTGGGTACGCAACCCTCTCTCCAACCAGCAACCACCACATGGAATCAAAATCGAAGCCCATCAGGCGTGAATCCCAACGATCACGGGTTCAGCAACCCATCATCCATCTGCTACAATAAGGCTGGTGCAGGAGGAGACGGGATTTGCAGCCAGAAACCCAAAAAGTCAGAGTTGGTGGACGAAGACGAAATTGCGTCGACTCTCAAACGGATTCGCGCTCAACACATCGAGTCTCAATTGAGTCTCATGGATAAAATCCAACGCCTGGAACGCGATCTCATCGCTTCTTCAACGCATCACCAAAAGCCGCAGCATAAAACTGACTTTCTGGTGTATTTCGCAAGCAATCAAGTGGACGAGGAAAACTCTGCTGGGAAAGCTGCTGAATTAGTTAACGAACGCGAGTCTGACAATGCGGAAATAGTGGAACCATGCCCTCAGACGAACACAGGTGAATCTTCTCTTTCTTTCGAATGTTTTCACATCGGATGTAACTTAACTACTGCATTCACTTCAGTCCAAGAAGCCCCCTCTGTTCTTCGAGCTTAATTTTTTTGGCATTGATTTATACTTCACGGTCAGAACTCAGAAGCGAAATCTTCTCGACGCGCTCGTTCTCAAGAGCCGCGCTTTGGCGACATCTATGTGAGGGAAAACAAAGTAATCTCCCGCCGCAATTTTATACAGTACAGTAAAATCTTGTGTACAACGAACTCCTAGGGACCTGCAAAAGAATAGCTATAACGAATATTTCGTTATACAGCGATATATAGTTCTAAAACCCTTTCAGACTCAAACATCGTGGAAAACGGGTAATAAATATTGCAAAGTGCCCTTAAAACAGATAATTCATGACATGCTCCCATAATTTGTCCACTGTCTCTCCGCTGAAATGAAGTGGAACATTTTTGTTTAGACTGTTCTTCTCTTATATTTAACCTGCCTTTCTCGCTTCTAATAATGTGCTGTTTGTCTTGATAATTGAAATGCATAAAAACACATTTGTGAGGAATACTTCCTTCCACTTATTCGTTCATATAAGTTTGTCCTTCGAAAAAAAAGGAAATTTTCGTCAAACATCTTGTTCACTCGAAAGGATGGCATACACTCTCAAATGGAGCTAAAGAAATAATTAAAAGAAATATGTCATGCTACACATTTTATGAACACGAATTTTTAAAAAATGAGGTTTTAATTTTTGGTGAATTTAGAATGCTGCACCGGTTTTATGTTTTTTTACATGCTAAATAAAAAAGTATTCCTATGCATGGTCTTACAAAATCAGGCGAAAAGTGTGTTATACTGAGATTATCGCCTAAAATGCGTTCGTTAACATTAGATTCTTACAACATGGCGCCTATGAAGGAACTGCTCGGACCAAGAAAAAAATTCCTTATAACGAGATCCGTCATTGTGAAGGAATTTTACTTACGCCAATTAACGGTTGCTTCGGTTGGGTTTATTATAAGCTGCGCCAGAGCATCCAACTCTCGGTTGAATTGAATTTCAAGTTTGGTTCGCTTATACAGTTTAGTAGATTAAAATCAGTTTCGTTAGATAACTTGGATTTGGATGCGAAGTTTTCGCTTAGTTTTTGCGCTGATATCAGTGTCACATCGGAAATTCCCTCCGTGTTTTTCTCCCAGATGTCGCCAGTAAGCGTCGCTACGATGAAGAAATTTAGCGGCGAAATTCAGAAATCACGCTCTCTCAATTTCTTAGTTCCCTTCCCAATACTGTACAGGTATAATGATCAAGAAGACATTTGTTACACACATTTTTTATTTCCTTCTCAAAGCAGCAAAGACGATGTTTTCTTTCTTTTTATTTTCAGATCTAGCTGCGGAATCAGACGAGAAGATCCCGTCGCCAGATCAACCAAAATCCACAGCAGAAGGCCCATCCCAAAAACGGTTGATGGACGATGATGACGGGCCGTCGTGTCGAAAAAAGTCCCCCAATCCATCAGTTTCCGAGTCAGGAAACAAGCCCAAGACATCCTTGGAAATCGAACTGGAAAATCTCATCAAAAAACTGACTTCGGCCCTGGACGAGGTCCAGGTTTTCTGCTCTGACCAAGTCAAGGACGACGGAGCCAAATCCGTCGCTTCCGCTGCAGTCTACCTGAAATCGTGTCTGGGATCGATTCTCAAGGACTGTTCGGGTTGCGCTTCCCAAGATGCGAAAAAATTTGGCGAGGCAGCCGGGATTACGGTGGACGAGAATGAGCATGAGCCCAAAAAGGACCCGTGTCCGCATCGTTTGTTGAGCGACGTGGAAACCTCGGCTTCGGACGTGGAAGCTGTTTGTGTGGGTGCGACCCCGGAACAATTGGTTGCTTTGCTAGTGGATGAACGCGACAGGAACAAACAGGTACTGTACAATACTGTACAGTATTCGAAGACTTTTGAATGGGGGGTTCAGGAGAAAAAGGCCGACAAGGAGAAAATGCCGGGGGAGGAAGTTCCGCGTCCCATCGAATACTGAAATATTGTACATAAATTCCGCCCTGGAGAAATTAACCATTTATTTTAAATCAAGTCCTAACATTTGACCATTTTAGCTTATAAAATGTCAATTTATTTTTCTCTTCCTAGTATTTCCTAAAGATTTATTAAAAGATATTTTGAAACTATCCGTTTTTCCGAATTTCTCTTGTCTATACTTTTCTTTCCATCTTGTAAATTTTTTATGAATGAATGAACAGAACACTTTCTTTGCCGCTTTTCAGCGTTCACAAGGTTCGATCAAGATTTCCACAACCAAACCCCCCTTCCCACCGAACCCAAATCCACTCAATAACATTTTAATCACTTCAGAGCAGGAAAGCACAAATTGCCAACAAAAATAAAAGAAAATACAATACAACATGAAATACAACTGGACATCTGACATGTATGCATACACCCATTCATTCCCTGACATTGGTAACAAAATATATGTAAAAATTAATTTAAAGCACAAGGTCTTCAGCTTGTTTCTGGCTCGAGGTTTAGTTGAATGAACAAATTACAGAGAATCTTTGATGAGAAATCATATAAAGCCAACAATTTATCTTGATCCTTTTAAGATTTCAGAAGGGGTCAATTAATAATAATTATTAATTGTAAATTTAAAAAAAACACACAAATATGCATTTTGCATTCAACTGATTGTAGCGCAGTCAAAACCTTCCACCGTTTTTGGAGGTTTTTCTCACATTTATCAAACTACAACAGGTCGACTCTCTCTACAACGATCTTGTCTGAGACCAAAAATCGAACGCAATAGGTTTCCTTCCCATCTTTAAAAGGGTTCGCTAGAACGAAATTTTGTCTACGACGGATTTGTTCAGGGGCCCCTGGATTATTTCGTTTTAGAGAGAGTCTATGATTCAAACCCAAATGTCGTAAGTATATTCAATACATTTTTTTCTATTTCAGTTGATTCAAATTCGGGACTTTCTGGCGTCGGAAAACCACCGCGTGCAGCAAGAACTCGAGACCATGAAAATCACTCAAGCAGCTCTCATGGAAGCACAAGAACAGCCATCATTTAAAAAAGCCCCAATCAAAAAGATGTCCAGCAGCGTGTCGGAAAAGCCGAAAAATAGCCTTTGCCCAGACCTGGACGGGATCGAAGCGCCAAACGATTTACTTCGCCAGGCCGAGAATGAAATCACTCAATTGCGCAATAATCAGGAGATTCTAGAGGCAAAATTGGAAAAAGTGAGTTTACGCTTGCAACGACACCACACCCCCAAGGAACCATCCGTGCACAGGGAGGCAAAAGTGGAGGATCATTCCGATTCCTTCCACGAAAGTGACTTCTGTCACTGCGACGAAGTGCCGCCATCGCCGACCAAGACGGCGGCGGAGGCGGCCATGGAACTCATGCTTGAGCGCTGCAGGTGTCCGCCGGAGTCGGCGGCGGAACTGGACAAGGCAAGTGTGAATAAGGGGTCAATTAATAATAATTATTAATTGTAAATTTAAAAAAAACACACAAATATGCATTTTGCATTCAACTGATTGTAGCGCAGTCAAAACCTTCCACCGTTTTTGGAGGTTTTTCTCACATTTATCGAACTACAACAGGTCGACTCTTTCTACATCGATTTTGTCTGAGACCAAAAATCGAACGCAATGGGTTTCCTTCCCATCTTAAAAAGGGTTCTACGACGGATTTGTTCAGGGGCCCCTGGATTTCGTTTTAGAGAGTCTCTATGATTCAAACCCAAATGTCGTAAAAATATTCCATATTTTTTTTCCATTTCAGTTGATTCAAATTCGGGACTTTCTGGCGTCGGAAAACCACCGCGTGCAGCAAGAACTCGAGACCATGAAAATCACTCAAGCAGCTCTCATGGAAGCCCAAGAACAGCCATCATTTAAAAAAGCCCCCATCAAAAAGATGTCCAGCAGCGTGTCGGAAACGCCGAAAAATAGCCTTTGCCCAGACCTGGACGGGATCGAAGCGCCAAACGATTTACTTCGCCAGGCCGAGAATGAAATCACTCAATTGCGCAATAACCAAGAGATTCTAGAGGCGAAATTGGAAAAAGTGAGTTTACGCTTGCAACGTCACCACACCCCCAAGGAATCATCCGTGCACAGGGAGGCAAAAGTGGAGGATCATTCCGATTCCTTCCACGAAAGTGATTTTTGTCACTGCGACGAAGTGCCGCCATCGCCGACCAAGACGGCGGCGGAGGCGGCCATGGAACTCATGCTTGAGCGCTGCAGGTGTCCGCCGGAGTCGGCGGCGGAACTGGACAAGGCAAGTGTGAATAAATTCACGTTGTGTACAGTACTGTACTTTTAATCCGACACATTTTGAGCATAAATTCTTTAATGTGGCTCCCCGGAAACTCCAGGAAAAAAAAAACAACGAATACCGTATTTACTCGAGTACCACACGCACCTTTTTTCTCAAATTTCAGAAGAAAAAAAAGGGGTGCGCGTCATATGCGGGTACAAAATTTTCAAGAAATTTTAGGAAGTTGTGTGTTAATTATACTTGATTATAATGGAGAAATTTGTGACAAATGTACCAAGAAAACTTTTTTTCAACTGAAAAATTTGAAAATTGATCAGATTCATGTTCAATTGACATCAAGAGTCAAATTTTTTTTTTAATTTTTGAAATTTTGTGGTTTTACGGTCCCTAAAAATGGGGTGCGCGTCTTACTCGGGGATAAATTTTAGCCAAATTTTGAACTGAAAAACCCCTGTGCACGCCTTACTCGAGGGCGTGTGGTACTCGACTAAATTCGATAATTTTTTTTTTTTCTTTTAACGAATTATTTTTACGAATACCCGTACAAATAAATGGAAAAGCCGAATAAATTCTGCGTTTCTGGTAATTTTCAATATCCTGGATATTGAGGAGTAAAACGTTATCCTGGATGAGATGAAGTTAATTTTTCATGATTTAAAAATAAATTCATCGTTCACCATGTACAGTATATTTATTAGTAATTTTTGATACACAAGAAGGTAGTACAATATTCCAAGTTCTGCCATTTTTAGGAAATTGCACGTTTTGAGAACAAGAAAACAATGTTGCTGAAACCTGAAAGCCTGAAACACGGTGTACTTTCGATTGAATAAGCACAGTATTTCAGAAAATAAAATAATACGTCATTCATGAAATTTGAAAATCTACTTGAATTCGTACATTCTGTTCTGGAATCAGTATTTTTGTCAAAATATTACACCAATACTTTTTCTGAGAGAGCTGACTCTTTATTTGAATGAAGATGCCATTTTGTCTTTAAAACGAGGTAAACATAAAAGTAGCAATCCTTGTAGGAAAGACCGCATGTCGGGGCCCCATGATAAACAGCTCTGTCTAGCTCAGTGTTACCAACCCGTGGTCCGCGGACCGGCGCTGGTTCGCCGAAGTTTTTTGCCGATCCACGGAAAATGTTCAGCATAATACATCTATTTGAAGTAGCACTGAAGTCTCTCATCATTATCTAAAACTTTGGAAAGACAGTGGCAGTTGAAATCATTTGATGAAAAATGAAAGTCGGCTTTTCTCCTAATAACACTTCAGACACATTTTTACCGGCTGAAATAAATTATTTTAAAATTTTCATTCTGAGAAACCTTTCTTCAAGCCCACCTTTCTAAGTTTTGGATGACATTCAGCTGAAGCTGCTTCATAGGTGATCAACTTAATTTTTGAAAGAATTGCAGACAATTTTATATACCTGCCATAGTCTATCAAGCAAAAAATTTTTCAAGTCTGTAAAAATTTCATGAGACTCTGCAGACATTTTTTTTTGCAAATTTGCCAGTCGCCGAATATTTTTATGGAAATTTGCCGGTCCGCGGACCCAAAAAGGTTGGGGAACACTGCTAGTGCGACCTTTCCTATACAATATCGTACCACTATGTGCGGTACTGTATTACGTCTTACGAGTCGTAGCCACGCCCCTATAAACATTGCGACAAGTTGCAAGAACGAACCGAACTGTTTGTTCGTCCCTTCTCATCAGAGTCCGGTTACAATGTTTGTAACTTCACCATCAGCCGAACCATCACCACCACCACCAGCACCGACGGGCAAGGAGGCACATGCATTAACAAAAACGACAACGACGACGATAACCAAGGAGAAACTGGAGAAAACATCGGTTGAACATCGTGCGACACCTGCGTCAGAACCCAAGAAAACCGCTTCGCAGAATATAGATTCTTGCCGATCAGATGCCGCTAAGCGGCTGTTAGCAAAAGCTGACGAATTGGACGGTGGACATATTCCGAAGGATCAATACACTTTCAAGGATTTACAGCAAATTCCGAGTCACGGACAAGAACTCGAGCAGAAATACGCCAAGCTGTTCAAAAACCGATCGGTAGGATTTTTTTTGCACATAATGTTTGAAACATCTCCAGGGGCTAAAAGATTGATCTTCAACGTGTCTCCATCAGAAATCCGCAGACAAACCACCGATGCCGCGTCTTTCAAAAAATGACCTCAGGAGTGCTGAGTTGCAAATAATTTTGCAGCAAATGAAAACACAATGCGAAGAATTCAAAAGAGTTAGGGATACTTTGGGATTTCGAGATGATCAAACTCCGAACGTTGGTGATAAATCTGCTGAATCACTGCATGGGATCAAGAGTAAAAAAGACAAAAGCCCGGAAGTAAAAGATTCGTGTCATGGGAAGCCGAAACCCGATTTGGTTTCAATGTGAGTGGGATTAAAACGTTTTTCAGTTATTCTGATTAGCACTGAATTCAAGTACTGCAGTCCATCGATCATACGTGAAATTATAATGGAAATCGTAAAAAAAAGGATTTTATCGCTTTTAAGAGGTGAAAAATTCAAATACAGTACCGTTATTGTGGCCTTTGATTATAAATTTATTTGCAAATTATTTTTACAATTTTATTTCGCGAATTCGATAACAGGATTTCGGCTGATTATCTTTTGCTTTATTTCATTTGCAGGAATGGAAATAATTTGTGCAGTAAATCGTGGATAGAATCTAGCCAAGCTTTCTAAATTTAATATATTCTTCCGTTATCATTCTGATCTTCGTCTAAAAAATATTTTTAATGAAAAATAGATTGAAAAAAAATTCTTGTTCCGATCTTATAAACGCATTGTTCCCAAAACGTCACCGCACTTCAAATAAATTGAATACACCTGCAGAACCGATTGAAAGAGCAAAACAAAGACACGGGGATCCTTGCAGAAATTATACTCATAATTTTTAAATCGTGAATATTAAAACTCTTTCGAAGTACGTTAGTTTTCTATATAAGTAGAGTTCCAAGTTTTTTTCTACATAATTTTCTGTCCTGTTACAAGGGGTTTAATACAGTGCAATAAGGGTTGTCCCAGTTATGCGCGGGCAGAATATTTTTCAACACCGTTTAAATACTTTAAATGATCTAAAATTTAATTTTCTATCTGATGTTCTAAAGTTTTGGTATTTTTTCGAAGTTTCAAAGAATTTTAATAGGACACGAGCTAATGAGACGTGAAAATTTTCTGGTAACATAAAGAGTTTTCAACTCATTTCAGTGCGCTGAATGTTCATCAGGAGAGTTTAAAAATTGAAATTAATTCGATGGTGTTCAGCACATCATGTTTCATTTTATGAAAGTGTAAAAATCAAAGATGTGCTTCAGGAAGAAATGCCTTTCGTTTCTTTTCAGAAATAAAAATAAAAAGGTCGCTGTATGGAGGCTCGAATAATAAGCTATTCTACGCGGAAAATTAAAAAAATACTTCACCGAAAACAAAAACTAAAAAATCGTTGTAACGAGATTAACTAACCCTCCTCTCTCTCTTTCTCTCAATTTCAGGATTGATTCGCTGGTTCTCAACATAGAAACGTCCATCGCAGTAGCGGAAAAGTTGGCACTGGATCGCCGGGAAATGGTGCGAGCTCTACAAGAACAATGGGACTGGAACACTAAACTCAAGTCGGAGAATTCAGAACTGCGGGACTTGGTTCGTGGGTTCAGGGACCACGTGTTGGCGTCCCGTGAGACCATCATGCATGGCACCCAGGACTTATTTCGCGCCTTGAGTCGGATGCACAAGAAAGTCGTTTCTCTCGTCAAGTAAGTCGAAGGCTTCAAGAGTACGGCAAGTTTGATCCGAATTACGACATTCACGGAATTTTTGAATCAAAGAAATGAAATCCCTTTTACAAAATAAGTTTAGTTTACAACACGATTTTTTCCGTTCAGGATTGAACGGATTAAAAAGTCACGAATTTTCAATGGGCATATTACATGTGTGATCGAAGTTTGATCGGTAATGCAAGAAGGCTTCATCGACCTTAAATTTGAATCGTGAAAATAAAAACTCTTTCAGAGTGAGTTTAGTTTTCGACAATAATTTCTTATCTTTTACACGGATATGGAAGAGTTTTAATCCTAATTTGAAACACGAACACATAACAATTGACCAATACTGGAACAATTATCGGTTAATTTTATAGATAAATTTTACCGAGTTCGTGGTCATGGGAAAATTTCCGGTGGGCAAATTTTATTTTCTTAAAACTTGGTAAAACGCAGTTCATGGAAGTGAATGTAAGAGACATTTTGAAGTTAATTACGATAAAGTATTTGGAAATTACGCAGCACATTCAAAGTTATAAGTCGATTTTTTACGTTTGGCGTTGAAAATGGTGCATGAAATTCAATATATTACATTTTACCTTTCATTTATGTCGGCTTGAACACTGAGATCAGCGATTTATTTTTTAATAGATGTCAGTTGAAATACTTGCAAATTATACTATTTCTCTAACTTTCTCTCGTAAAATCACTTTCCAAAACAGCGCCAATACAGAAATGCGCTGATTTTTAATTACGTGTCAGTTAAAGATCTTGAAAATCATACTGTTTCCTCACACTTGCTAAATCAGTGCCAAAACAAAAAAAATCCGCAGGTACAAAGAAATGTGCAACAGTTTGGCTGACAGACTGCGAGCGTACATGCACGCGGACGAGCGTTCTGCCAAAGAAATTCGCAGTTTGCTTCTCGAGAAGAAAATCCTCTCGGATCAACTGAAATCTGCCAAATCCAAGCCCGTCATCATCTCTAGAAACGTCTCCATCAATTTCCCCGGCGCGAAAAACGGCACAGTGCCCGAATCGTCTACGCAGGACCGTGAGCACCAGGACCAAATTGCCAGAGAAGGCACAGGGGAAGATGTCAAACGAGTTTTGCACGACGACTGCGGAAATAGCGGAGATGAGGAGGATCTCGAAGGAGAACCAATTGGAACTCAAGGAAAGCTCGAGGATAATTTTTGCAGTCCTGGCAAAGATCTGAAAGAACAATGGCTCGAGGATAATTCTGTTACGCCTGACCTCAAATTGGAAGAAGAAGACGGATTTAAGAATACTTGCAAACATCGTCGGCTAGATGATGAACCACTCCCAGGTGATCGAAGCGCAACAAAACAAAAAAACATCGTATCCGCTGAAATTAGTGACGATTAAATCGAAAATGATTAAATACAACTCCTGTACAAAATAATTTTATACAAATTCCAAGAGTAGAAGAAAATACTTCTCGGAATGCATGAAATTTATCGGTGTATGAATCAGGTGATCGAAGCGCAAAGAAAAAAATCATCGTATCCGCTGAAATTTCTGACGGCTATATCGACAATGATGAAATACAACGCGTACAAAATAATTTTATACAAATTCCAAGATCAGAAGAAAATACTTCTCCGAATGCATGAAATTTCTCCGTGTATGAATCAGGTGATCGAGACGCAAAGAAAAAAATCATATCAACTGAAGTTACTGACGATTAAATCGAAAGTGATTAAATACAACTCCTGTACAAAATAATTGAATACAAATTCCAAGAATAGTAGAAAACACTTCTCCGAATTCATGACATTTCTCCGTGTATGAATCTCGGAATTGTCTTAGAATTTATGCAGGCTAATATTTTAGCGAAACATATATCATCGGCGAATGTGTACTTGAACGTTTTAGGAAAAAAAGCGGTGGGGTAGCAAGGAAAAAAGCAATGAAACTTCCAATCCTCTTTTTGATGGATTGTTCTTAAATAGCAAAAATAAATAACATTTCATTTTAAAATGGAAGCTCATCCCAGAAACATTTTCATTTCGCGTCAAAATTCTGCTTCTCATAATAATATGATTTTCAGGAGAGCATTTTTCAACCAAGTATGTTTTTGAAATGGTCAACGGCATGAAAAGAAAAAATATACAATGAACACTACTGTACTCTATATCAATCAAATCGATTCTTGCGCATCTCGTGTAACAACCGATTTTATTTTATTGTAAAAATCTGTAAAAAATATTTTTCTACGTTAAATTATTCACGCTGAACTCTTGATGGAACGTTCCTCAAATTTTTGCATAAGTTCGATAAATAAAAATCCTCTGAAATTTTCGAAAAATCGACTTTATTCTCGCTTTACAGTAATGTAATTTTTTATTTATTTAATACCACTCGGAATCGAGACAAGCCTCGGACATTGAAAGTTCTTTCAATTTTCTCAACAGCAGAATCTTATCCTGAGCCACCCGAGCAATTTTCAACACTGTCTCCGAAAAAGTCGCAAGATCTGACCTTGAGTTCTACCAAGTCCTTTGATCCGACGGATTACAACGATTCTGGGAATATGCAAACGGGAACACCGGGCGAATCTCCGTCGGAATATGACAAGGACGAGTCTCAATCAGAAAAACGCTGTCGACATACGCGAGAAGCACTTCAAACTCTCTTGAATGTCATCGTATCGTCAAACAGCGACAATGAGGAAATTGAGGCCAAGAAAAGCAATGATGGCATTCTGAAATTGGCTCTGCACAGACTTGCCAGTGAGTTGACACTATTTATCTCAATTGCTTCATGTGAAGAGTTACTCAAAAGAGAATTAAAGTGAGACCCCGAGATGCGGACATAATTGATGCATCAGGAGTGTCCCTGAGTTGAATTGCCCCTAAGTCGAGTCTTGTTTTCCCATGAATTTACATTAAATAATTTTTAATTGGTGTTTTATGAAAGAAATATTCTTCAGAATTCCATGAAAAAATGTGTTTGCCACTTGAATTTGATTTAGTGAATATATTTTCAACTCAATAAGAACATTTGAAGCATTGAATAGCGTATCTCTGTACAGTACATTGAAATGCTGGCATCTACAAAACTAACATTTAAGTCACAAAAAGAGAAGGAAGTCCCTCTATACCATAGGTAATTTTTTTAATTAGGTGAATGGATGGGAAAATAAATGACAAATAATATTTTTTGCATAAATCTTAGGCTTGGAAATATCTGTTTCTTGCAATCAAGCCAAATAAAAGTCAATTTTTGTGAAATTTACTGGCAATTTCATCATGCAATGTCCTCATGTTGTGTCAGTGTTCATATGTCGGGCCTTTTCATGCCCTTTTTATTGAAAAATAAATGTCCCTATTTCGAATTGTCCTCATGTCGAGGTGTCTGCATGTGGGGGTTCACATTGTACAGTAATTACGATAAGGTTAGCTCAAAAGTTGCTGTACGAGCGTTTTCCCAGTTGAATGTTACTGTTACAGAGAATGTCAACATTTCTATCCACTGTACAGAGGTATCGGTATTCAATTCCCCAAATGTCCATATTGTGTTGAAATACTGTATATCAATTGAATCACTTTCAATTGGGAAACAATTTTTATTTTCGTGGAATTATGGTGAGTATTTGGTACTTTCCTGTTACTGTTATCTCTGTACCTTCCCTCTGACCAATTTAACCTGACCTAACCTAACTTCACGTAACCGCCTCCCAAAATCAGTTTCTGCTTTCTTTGAGTTTCTGCAGAAACTTATTTTGGGAGGCGGTTAGGTAAAGTTAGGTTAGGTCAGGTTATGTTAATTAAAAGATATTTGTAATTAACATAACCTGACCTAACCACCTCCCAAAATCAGTTTCACCTGATAACAGGAAAGTACCTAGTATTTTGTCCATAGAACACCAATTAATAATTGACTTTGGGACATTTCAACTCAAAGACACTCTTGATGCACCAATTACGTCCGCATCTGGGGGGGTCTCACTGTATATACAGTAATCACTGTCACATCCCAAGAACTCGTAGTAACCATAAAATGCTAGAAAAAGCCTGGGTCCAATTGCACCTGATGACGATTTTTTTTTCCACTGCGCAGAAAGAAACCTCAGCTTGGAGATGCAACTGAAACACCTGGTGGCCGAACAACGGTGTCAATGCCCAGCAGAACTGGGGGAACTCGTCATAGAAAACGGCCCTTCCCCGTACACCCCGGATCCCGCCAATTTCAGCCCGCAAAAATCCGGTGTCTGGAGCCCCTCGTTCACGATTGCCAAAATAACCCCGCGCGCCAATTACAGCTCCTCCACCGCGTCCGACTCTGACCTCCGCGCTCTTCAAACCAGATGCGAGAAATTCGGCAAGGAAAACGCGAAAATGAGGATGGAATTGCAAAAGCTGAAAATCACGCTGGAAAATGAAAGGATCGAAAAGGCTTTGCAACCTATTCACGTCAGACAAGCGTCGAAGAAGAAGAAACAACAACAACAACAACAGAAACTGATTGATGACGGTGATGACGGGAAGCGTCCGAGTCCTGTTCGGTTGTTCAAAGCGACGCGGAAATTTGGCACGAAAATCGGTCATGCTTCCGGGCACCACAAACACAGCAGCAAGAATAAGAACCCAGCACAAAACCCGGGTTCGCAAGTTATCAATGAGGGCGATATTGCACCGACATCGAAGTTGCATCCTTGCGTTTGTTTACATGATTCGAACAGCACCAATTCCCACACAACACCTCCCACGTGATCCTTTCCTGTCTTAATTTTCAAAAAAAAAGAAAAAGAATATCCATCTAGCTGCGGATTCTCTTGTTGATGACACAAATTGTACTATGATGACTACGAATACGATTCTCCACGGTATCACGAAAGATTTCCTGCTTTCATTTCATTTTTTTTCCTTCGTTCATTCGAACGGATTTTCTCTCAGAGAAATTATAGCGTTTCTCCGCTTTTTCCCTGACTCATTTGAGGGGTCTAACAAAAGTTCTTGGAAAAAAATTTGAAATGGCATATGATTGAGCAGAAAAAATTAATTCTTCAGAAGAAAACATTCTTTGGCACAAGAAAAACTTCTGCCCCGTTTGACATCAGTATTCTGAATCAAAATTTCACAGAAGTCACAAAATAAGTCAATTCGAATAAAAACTGAAATTGCATATTATTGAACTGAAAAAATTTATTGTTCAGCAACATTTTTTGGCACAAGAAACATTCTGCCCCGTCGAAGGCACAGTATTATGGAGACAAATTTTTGCTGAAGTTGAAATAGTCCTTACGTTGATCAGGGCAGGATTCGTTTCATGTGCCAAAAAATGTTTTTCAACAATATTTTTTTCAGATCAATCATATGCCTTTTCAATTCATATTTTGAGAAATTCTGTGTACATCTTGGAATACAAATTGCGAGTTCGTTTTCAAACTGATAACGTAGTTAATTACACTGAGTCGATAATTATATTCAAGTAAGCTAATTAATTGTATGCTTGTCATACTAGAGTTTGAAACCATCTAAGCAAACTGCAAGTCTAAAAGTATTATTGTCGGAGATTATAATATAATGAACTTCTCACTTCTGAACAGCTTCAAGTGCTTGCGATACACTTCTGGTAATTTTTGTGGTCTCGACTTGTGTCTGGATGAGCGAAAATATTGCTTTTAAGCCAAAGAAAAAGATGAGCATCAAGCGTCCAAACTACGACAATTGATCTCCAGCAAGTATGTGATTCGCGAAACAAATGGATTTCAAGAGAACAAAATAAAACTAGGCACTTCTACACGTCCATGTTTCTCATCAGCCACAACGGCGCCAAAAATACAAACAAAATTAGCCCAATAGTTCATGACTTCTCGTTGGCAGGGTAACCCGACTCACAACAGTCAACAGCAACGCCATAAAAACATTTCTAGACATATCTCACTTCCCCCGCACGGAGTACCGAAATTGCTAGTTCCTCTTTTTCCTACTCCAGTTCTTGTCGACACAAAAAAGTAATGTTTGACCAAGAATTTGACGAAATGATCTCCGACATCGCGGTGTCTCAGTGTGATAATAAGAAACGGAAACAAAGCGAGGATTTCACAGCCGTTGGCAATCTTGTGCCGAAATGCTGCTATAAGCGCGGAAAGTTCAAATATTTGGCAATCGCGGCGATTCTGTGGCAAATTTTCGTGCTCATTTTCGACTACTTTGCTGGAACGGTGAGACTTTATTCGAGTATTTCATCGTCGAGTGAACAAATGAGCAATGGAGAGAGAAAATCACTGACCTGCATTTTAATGCAAATAATCGTACTGTCCCGTTTTTGCGAAAAGTTGCGCCTGATACCGTTCTATCATGATTCATACTGCAGCAAAATAATTAATTTCACAGCCGGAAAAAATTGGTGTCTCGGAAAAGCGTTCTTCTCGTGAGTTTTTGAGTCAAGTGTCGGAACAAAAGTAATAAGAATAGACGAGATTAAGTCTCACGACACCAAATTTTCATGATTCACGCAAGAAAATGATTGCAACAGCCGGTCATGAGCGAGAAGTTCGCCAAGATACGAACATTTCAGAACAATTCAACTAAGTCGAATCGAACAACGGCATTTATTCAATATTCAACAGGGGTTTTTCAAAGACCAGAAAACGTCATTGAGATGCAGGAGATTCCAAGAGGCTTCATCGAACATCACGACAAATGAAAGATCAATCATGCAAATCAATTCCATGAATCAAAGCGATTGGCTTTTACTTTCGTCCAAGGAGAATAATTCAATCCTCGCGTATTCTGCATATTGGATGATGAAAGGAGACGGAATCTCGTTCGCTCGCATCGTCGCAGTTTCCGCACAAAAGTCAAGGACACAAGTGCAAGCAAAATTTGAGATAGCAGGAAACGTGAATGTATCAAATTACAGGTGAGGAAATTGATACTCCAAACCAGATTCATCCTACTACAGTACGTTGAACTTGAAAAAAACATTACTTGGACTCAACTTTCCGTCGAAAAAAACGTTAAGATGGGTCAGTTCTCCAAAAATATAACTGGGGCTTTGGTCCGCTTAGTTTTGCCTCTGGCGACATGTAATAAACTTCGGCAATGAGTTAAGTTAAACATTGGTTCAAATTCTAACTTAGGATAATTCAGTTTTATATTTAGGAGCTAGGTTAGATACTTTTACAGTATTTTCAGGTGGGCCGAACCCCGATTTCCTTCACATTTTTTGAGAAAGGCGTATGACCTAAACTCAATGTACTGAATATGCTGCCATCTATGGTATGGGTTCGTTGCCGAAGGACAAAGATAAAGTGTTTCTTCAAGAAGGGCGTGAAGGGAACCAAACTCTTCCAATACGGTTTTTTTCTAACGCAAAAACTCATTTGTATGCATATAATCGTAGACTATGCAGGAGACGCGCACTGCAAGAACACGGAAATTATCCATACACGGCGTGCTACTACGACTGTTTTTTACCCAACACGACCACCGACTTCATCCCTGAGACGGTACGGTAAACCAAATTTTTACAAAATTCACATAGCCGATCACGACAATTATCAATCCCCGAAAACAACGCAGGTTTCTCTTCGAGTCGTCACGCGATTTCCTGAAAACTGCTCATGTGCAACCGTTCGCATGAAGCTTCAAGTCAAGAACTCAACTGAAACACGATCCGGGATATCATTGTGTGTCAAACCTTTGCACTCCGAAATATTCGGCAACGAAACAGCGAAGTTCATCGAACACATCGAGTTCCATCTTTTAATGGGTGTATCAAGAATATACCTTTACAATCAATCGTTATCAAACGCGACGGAGAGGATTATCAAGTTTTACCAAAATCAAGGACTCTTGGAAATATTTCCATGGCATAATCTAAAAGGTTACGCAGTCAGGACTCATGGTTTGATGGCAGCCATAAATGACTGCATATTGAGGTTAGTTTGCAGAAACACCGTTTTACAGGCAACCCGATGAAAAAATAAATTCAGGACTCACCGATCATTAAATAATCACGCAGATCTAGTTTTGACGGCTTCGCTTTCACCGTTGTCGTCGACATCGACGAATACATCGTTCCACGATTACACAACGATTTCCACGCCATGCTCAATTCTTTGGATAAAATAAAGCGTCACGGCGACGACAACGAAACGTAAGAGTTTTCGACGCGAGTTCGAGAAATAAAGAACTCGATGCCATGTCTCCTGTATTCACACAGAGAAGTCAACGCGTCACCATTCGCATCGTTCGTGTTCCGCAATGTATTTTTCTACACGCAATGGAATTCCGACAAAGACGCACTTCAAGTGATACCAGATTCACAAAAACGTTGGATGAACGTGGAACCCGTCACGGTCGCAAAAACTGTTCGAGACACTCGACCAACTCAATTCGGAGTTCGTTCCAAGTACATAGTGAAGCCACACTGGATCAATGAAGCAGGCAATCATTTCATCTGGGAACCTGTCGAAGGTAAGAATTTAACCGTTACGCGAACAGCGGTACATGCACACGATATTCGATCTTTAACAATACGAGGTAACATTGAGTTTCGGGATTTGCATGCAGCAACATTCCATATTTCAAGTGGTAATTGAAAAATAACGTTCACACAAACAAATGATGTTCAATCCATCTCATCGTACATATTTTTTTAGAAAGGACATGTTCGAAGCATGATCCAAACAAAACTGCTAAAAACTGACGATCCAAAGAGGTCAAGGAGATTTCGGTAAATGTTTTCGGAATAGTGGTCTTCTCTGAAATATATTAGCAGATTCAATTTCATCATAGAAATCTGAGACGTGCTTCATTCCAGTTTCTTAAAATTACGTTTCAAGAGAGATCGACGCTCAAAATGTTACACAGCGTCGGGTTACCCCGTGTAGATTATAATTTTTTTCTCAAGTGGGACTGCGCCTTAATTTTGAAGGGGAACGTAATGTACTTAACGTTTCAGAGGCTTACTTTTTGTCTCAGAACGGATGGTGTCGCAATGAAGGTAGTTCTTGAATCGAAAAAACAAATAGTGATAAAATTTGGAAATGAAGGAAAACGAACCGTGTCATGAATAATGACTTCGCATTTATCCGACTCGTTCCAGGTAAACGAAATATGTACGTGAAACACACAACCGCCATGAGCCATCATTATCGCAGCACCTGCACTTCAGACAAACAGAGGTGCCTCAAGCGACCCACGGTAGTTGACAGAGCAGCTCTAAGATTTGCTATGCCATTGGTGAATCGCGTTGCGACAAGATGCTCAGAAATCTTCGAAGAACGTTGCCCCTGAAGAATGCCTTTCAACTTTGTGATACAGTGATCAGCAGCAAAATGAAGATGAGCAGCAGAAGCGATGGTGTCCATGTTTTGAACACGGCGGCCCAGCTATTCGATGCAAATAAAATCTTTTCTTTAGAACGAAAATCATCAAACTTTTTGATAAAACATACCTGACATATCTCGAATATATCGACAACAGCACACACAACTTGACCATGTTCCATGATTGGGAATCATTGTATGACATCAAATTCAGTGCAGTAGCAACGTGCGAATGGCAATTATCACAGAAGAGGTTATGCTGCAATACAGAACAAAAATTCATTACAGTCCTGTACATGGTTTCTCCCAAAAAACAATTCGTTCTCACGAATGATCCCAACATACGATAAAAAAAAAGAATCACTGGTTAGAAGGTTTCTTCACACTCTCGCCAAATATTTCTTACAGCTTGAATTTCAAGGATTTCTTACACGAAAAAAAAAAAGAAGCTTTGCGATATCACATACAGTATACTCAGTTGAGAAAAAGCATACAGACGGAGAGCAAAATAGAACAGAAGGCACTTGCTTCAACTAAATAAAATTCAGGTTACCTTCTCCGATTTTTAAGCATTTCTTGCTTATGAATTCATGGTGAGTTCAACAAAAATTTTCAGCCTCAGTTTTACTGCCGAAGTTTCGAACGGGGTTTCTCAAATTCGAGATTAACCGTCCGTTTCATGGCATGCAGAGCCTTGATAATGCGAGAAAGCTTCGCTTCGATCTACTACGAAAAGCATGCGAGACAGGAGAAAAACAAAGACGTTTCAAGGAAAACAAAGTTTTCATCAGAAGAAGCAAACGGTCAGAAGTGCTTATTTTCTACCGAAGTACTGTAGTTACATTTCGTGTTTTCTTCAAGTTGCATGTCTAAAAACAACCAATCGCGTTACTAACCATGCGATTCTTGTATATATCGGATGCTTCTTTGACTCCGGCGTCCCAGTTCTCTTCGCCACCGGGAACCCGAGACGGTTGCAACTTCCAATATTTCACCGGTCTCCCAAAAGCCATATTACCTTCACCAACGGTATAAGGTCCAGCAAAATCTCGGATCACGCCCTTGGAAGTGGCGATTCCCATGTGCCCGATAAAAGGACATAGCCATCTGAAAAGAATTAAAAGTTCGAAAATTCACCACAGTACTATTAGCGCGTCCTCAACGCATGATTCAACACTCACGTCAGTAAAGGAATAGGAGTCCAGACAATACAAAATGGAAAGCAGTCCCGCCGTGCATCTATGGCAAGATGGTTACGCATTTCGGTGCCTCCCTCACTCATGTGACCTCTTCGCACGTGAATGCTTCGGAAATAATTTCATCAAAGAGGTTCCGACATCACATCTGGGACTTAACATCAATGGTTTCGTTGATCATGTTTCTCCTGGAATATAGAATTTTCCAATGACGTGAACACAACATACTCTTAAACGGCCACTGCATGCGACAAGGAAGCGTGGATTAGTCTACCGGATGCAAACTTGTTTTCCTATGAACCGAAAATATAGGATAAATTCATCCATTTCACAAGTACTTCAAGAATTCAAATAAATCCCTATAATGTCCGGTTTTCTTTTCGTACGGTACATTCAAAACCGATTGAGATATGCGATGTAGGAGCTATCCTAGTAGATAGCGTACCACAGGATGAACAGAACAGGGTTGTTGAACGATTGGAGTGTGTCCACCAAGAACGTTCAGTGTGCCATTCTTAGCGACATCTATATAGACGTAGTTTTGCGCCTGGGTCCCCCCAACTAGGATAGCTCCGCGATGTACAGTACCTAACTCTCGAAGTCCACAACCATGTCAAGCCCGGTTCACTTATTCAACTCGTTAACCGCCGAAATATACTAAGCGAGGAACTGCTATCAATCAGAATTAAGCAATGATCGCTACTATGAACCGAAAATATAGGATAAATTCATCCATTTCACAAGTACTTCAAGAATTCAAATAAATCCCTATAATGTCCGGTTTTCTTTTCGTACGGTACATTCAAAACCGATTGAGATATGCGATGTACAGTACCTAACTCTCGAAGTCCACAACCATGTCAAGCCCGGTTCACTTATTCAACTCGTTAACCGCCGAAATATACTAAGCGAGGAACTGCTATCAATCAGAATTAAGCAATGATCGCTCTGATTTTTTAAATATTAAAGAGAAACAGTAAAATAGTCGACACGCGCTCGCAAGCCTCACCAATCCCCGAATCAAATCTGACTGACACCTGCAGCGAAATAAAGCGTAGCCACACGCGCGCTGCAGTTCACAGCCAGGAACGACTTACGGATATCCAACTCTCAGGTGGGAGAAGTAAACAGAGGCAGATGCATGGTCGTTTTGTAATCACGTGTTACATACAAGATGTACGGTAATACTACGAGCAATGTTACATCATCCAGAACAATAAGAAAAGAGAAAAACGCAACAAAAAACTGTCCCTAATCACGGATGAATTGGAACGAATGTTTACATCTTCATCCACACCCTTGGTCCGCAAAAATCTCCTGTATTTTCGCTTCCTCCACAAAGGCATATCATCGGTTGTGGCAGGATTAGTTATTCGTACTGCTTTCGGCTCGCGATTGACGACTTGTGGGGCAGGCAAAATCAAAACGACTTCTTTTGTACCACCTAGATGTCGTTCAACATCGCCCGCGGACGCTTTTGCCTCACGAGGTTCAACTTCTGTCGCGACTTCCACTCTGTTCAATAATGATGACGAATTTTTTGGGTCACAAAGATGAGAACGACACAGTATGCAGGACAGAGGACATATATGTTCTATAATGTCTTCCCCCACAACAGCGTTGTGATTGCAATGCTTGTCAGTAGCTTCTGTGCAGTTGTCTTTACCGGTCCACGCTTTGAATTCGGATGAAGCACATCCTCTGCTAAGGACTGATATACCTCCTGGGGGAAGACAATTACAAAATATGATTATAACTGCCCTCCAAGTGAATGAAAAGTATTAAATAGCCAGGAACCCACCAACTTGAAGAGAACACGCGGAAAATTACAGTATTGTGGAATGCAAAAATGTTACCTGGCGAGTCCAACTGTGTGATACAGTAAGAGACACCTTGCGGACAATTTTCAAACACCTCTGACTCTTCATATGCACATGATACGTTGTTGTCGCATCTTTGACAAGACAAATGCTCCTTCTCGGTCCTCCCCACAGAATTCGGCATCACTCGGAGTCCCTCTGAAGAAAAAATGCATCCATACCAAATCAAAAACCTTTTTTGTTACTGAAAATATGAAGTTCCTGGCTGAAAATATGAAGTTCCAAGCGTATAAGTAGGGGTATTGCAGCCAATGCGTAAATATATATTTTCCAGATATTACAGTATACAGTCAACCCCCGTCTAACGGACTTGATTCGTGCAAGGGAAGAGTCTGTTAGACAAAAAGTCCTTTACACAAATTCAATTACATAAAAATTGAAAATTTCAATTTTCAACACTAATTTTAAACCAAAAGAAGATCAATTACATAAAAATTGAAAATTTCAATTTTCAACACTAATTTTAAACCAAAATAAGTCTGTTTGGTGGATTTTGTCTGTTGGGCGGGAGGAAAAACTGCTTGCAAAGCTAGTCTGTTCAGCAAAAATCCCTTACACGGAAGGTCTGTTAGGCAGGGGGTCACTGTATATGGACCATCATCATATATGGACTTGTCACAATTTCACAGAATTCGAAACTTTAGATTTCATCATGAACTGCAACTTCAGATATACAACTAATTGTGATATCATTCATTATTTGATTCTATAAAACATTCCAATTCAAATAAGCCGCTTATTTCAGCCAATATGAGACATTAAATTCTAAATTTCTAACACTTTATTATCATATGGTTTTTCAGGCAGGTTTTTCACTTACTCAGCATACATGATGATTTTTTTTGCATCATTTTACAATCACTTGAAGAAATGTCATATTTTGCACTGATAGTATTCCAGAAAGCTGATGAACTCTGTAAGGAAACTTCCTCATCAGCATTACCATAAGATCAGACGCAGTCACAAATGAATAAATTACAGTTCAATCAGTGTTGTTCATCACTTATATACAGTAAAGTGTATGTATCAAAGACACTCACGCATTAATATTCTGTGGGCGTCCAGGAAGTTCAGCAAACCCATGAACAGCAGGCTCAGATAACCGACGTTGATGCTTATGATCATGTTTGTGGAAATGAAAATCACTTTTACGAAACAAGTAAGGAGAGGTTCATTCTCTATGGAAAAGACGTTTCAGAAATGCTAAAAAGATTCATGTTGGACTTATATTGTAACCATGAATGTTGATTACATCTCATGCAACCTTCAAAGAATTTTACTTCCTAGAATTGGGTAAGATGTGATGTCTGTGAACTTTGTGTTTGATGAAAGCCTGCTTCACATCTGCTGATGGTAAGGTTTATTTTGTTGCAGTTTCAGGACGATGATTTGCGAGAATTTTTTTAACAAAGTTTACATTTTACGAGAGAAGAAATTAAATCAACATGAATTAATTCAGATGCTCGCATGGAGAAAACCTTCATTTCGAGGAAAAAAGTGAGGGCATGGATTGAATTTGAAAGTATAAATATTATAACTTTGGTGTCACTCAAGAAATTTTAAATCTGTTATATTGAATGGCTCGGCGAAAAAGTGCGTAAAAATAAGTGAATAAATGGAGGAACCCGGTTTGTTGTGCTCAGCTCAGATGAATATACAGATTTATAAAATAAGTTCAATCATAAATTTATAATGCACAAAATTGAATGCAGAATTATAAGGAATCAAATACGTCAGAGCAGTTTATTCGCATATATATTTCTCCTAACACATACGCAATTTTTAAGTCTACGCGCAAAACGATAAAAAAGCTCTTCTGGATTCGGCATTAAAAAAAAACAAACAATTGTCACGCAAATCTCATCTTGGCAGAACTTTTTTTTTTCCTCGGAACGTTCCTCATCACTATATATTCTTCACGTTGAACACGATTAAACACAACTATATACGCATCTCGTTTCCTCCGCAAAAAAAACTTTCCATTTCAATCATATATTTATTATATCATCAGTATTATTTTCCGTTTCACATCATGGCAGCAGCAGTCAAACACAGCAAATATTTTCTTCACCGCCAAAAAAGAAAAGAAATCGCATGGTTTTCGTCAACAAGGAATGAAAAAAGAGAAGAAATAAATCAAGACAGAATGTCACTTCCGTGCACCAGCACTCAAAACTATGTGTCATCACCCTCGCTAAAATGTGTGTTTTTCTGAATGGAAGTCTCCGTCAACAAATCCTCTGCTGAAATGTATGGTTGTGCGATTTCGAGGACACCTGCGCCAGACATGTTTTCCACTCTTCTTCTACTCCTCATTTTGTGTGTGTGTGTGTGTGTGCATTATTATATTATATGTGCGTTGACAATTCAGCACAGGAGTATATGCTGTTAAAGAAACTGACGCGAGAATGATTCGCGTCGACATATACAGACAGACAGACAGCAAATCAGCACAGAACCTTCATATCATTTATATATATCACCCAACAGAAAAAAAATAAAAATATGAAACGCAGATTGGCTCGTTTCGTATATATAATATCGTCGGTGCTGCACAAAATCCCTCTGTTTTTCTCCCCTCCCCCGCCCCACCACCACCACCACCACCAACACCACGTTCTTTTGTTCTTGTACATAATATAGAACAGCAGTATATAGTTGTCGTGACGTGTTCCTTTTTTTTTTCTTTCCCCTGATGCTTGCTGGTATCATGTACCATGAAATGGCTTAAATTACTTCAAAGCTACAAACAATCTTAATGAGAGTGGACATACACACATTGAATATACGGGGTGAATAAATCCACTCGAAATAAGCACAGCAGAGCAACGCAAATTTGATTCACGTAACAGGTTTCTAATTTACCCACAAAAGATACATGTTTGATATTGTGTGTTAAATATGCATTACAATATTTGCTGGGCCGTCGAGCCCCTTCCAAGGGCCAGATGCGCGTCATGATAATTGAGATTTTAATTAATTTCCTGAGTCAACATTTCCACCCCGACTAAAAAGTATACATATGATGGGGTCGTTGCTGACAAAAGCAATTTATTTCAGTGTAATGTTTGTTAGCCTGGATTGAAGCACTTCCAATCTTTTCGTGGGATAATTTTTTTCTTGTTTTTTACCTCCAACACAAAATTGCAAGCTGGATCTTTTCTGGTTCTAACCAATTAAGTGCAGGAACTCGCCTAAACTGTCAGGAATAAATCCTTGGCAAATGAAGATATTTAAAAGAAAGATTTGAACTTAGGAGTATTTGATTTCAGGTATGAATAAATGAAACAGAAATTGGTCAGGCTACAACCGGGTTGAAATATCACCCCATTTTAAAGTTTTTGTAATTGAAAGTTTCAAACACACAGTCAATGCACACTATATTCACAAACAGGCAGCAGTGTCTTGTATGAGAGCTCAGAGAAGAGTGCGTATTTTGATGAATTCAGAAAACAGGAAAACTGTCCTCCAAGGACAAACCAGGATTTGGCAATAAAAAACAGCCTTGGAGGCTTCCAGAAAGAGTGTGTGTGAACCAAGTTCTTTCCCAGTTCACACAGAGATGCACAAGGACAAGTCTTCCCAAGAATTCAGACTCCTGATTTTATCATTTAGGGCAGCAAATCACACTCTAGCATTTATTTTTGCAACATAAACGGCTGTAATTGATACATGTCTCTTGAGTTTTCTACTTTTCTTCATGCAACAGTTTTTTTTTCTGCCATATTTAACAATGAGTGAATCACAATTGAAAAATATGACGAACAATCAAAATATTTTAAAATGAATTATGCACCAAAAGAAACCCATGAAGCTAAATTTTATGCGGAACTAAAAGACGGAGCGTCTTCAAAGCGTACAGCATAGACGCCCAAGGCAACATATTATTCCCTTAAAACTATTGTTATTTAAATGAGACGGCTATCTAATGTCTTACGTCATCATGGTGCAGATTTTTTTTTTTTTTGCAAACAGACAGGAGGTTGTTAAACGTACGAAGGGGTTCAAAAAAAGTCTTCGGATTAAAAATTGAAACCATATACGATTGTGCTGAAAAGGAAGAATTTTTTTTAAAGCCTTCTTTGGCACTAGAAAGAAAAATTCAGCACTGTTTCACCTGCTATTTTGCGAGTTTTTGTTGTTGTTGCAAAAGTCTCCCTGATGGCAGCCCTCTGTTCTTGCATTGGAAAATATCTTGGATAATTTTTTTTTTTTTTGTGTGGCGAAGCTTCTTCTTCAGAATTCGTGAAATAAACAAGGCATTGATTGCAAGGACTGCCTTCAAATATTCCAAGGTCATTCCGTCATTTTTTTGAAGACATCCCTCTATAGCTGCTTCATTGTCATTTTTTTTAATATATACTTTTAAATACCTGCCATAAAGTCTTTCAAAAAAACTTTTTGAGTCTGCAAAAATGTAATGGAACTTTGCCAGTTTGCGCAGAAAATATTTCAGAAAATTTGCTGGTCCGCAGGCCCAGAAAGGTTTTTGGGCAACAACAGTGATCTAGTTCGTGTATTCTCTCTTCTTGTTTTTTTCTACCGCGTTCGTTCCGCATTCCTCGCTTTTCTTTCACGTTTTTTTTTAATTCAGTGTTTCTTTTTTATTCTAATGCAGGGCAGCAGCCGGGGGCTTTGCATATTGCAGCGGGACAGCGGGCCAGCCAGGACTGGCTTCTGTTGCTGGCAACTGCGCTCGCATCCGTGTCGGGCGCCTCGTCCCTGCTGCGGGCACTTGCCGAGTGGGCGGCGGCCCATGTGACGTGAAGATGGATCACTTAGAGAGTCTGCTCCGCTCTGTGGATGGGCCCGAAACAATGGCGCTTTTCTGTGATGCGAGTCGTCGTCGTCGTCCGCCATGCACCACCATGTTTCCCTCGTCCGTCGGGTTGCGTACGTACGTTGTTCCAGCAGCCAGCAAGCATCAGGGGAAAGAAAAAAAAAAGGAACACGTCACGACAACTATATACTGCTGTTCTATATTATGTACAAGAACAAAAGAACGTGGTGTTGGTGGTGGTGGTGGGGCGAGGGAGAAAACAGAGGGATTTTGTGCAGCACCGACGATATTATATATACGAAACGAGTCAATCTGCGTTTCATATTTTTATTTTTTTTTCTGTTGGGTGATATATATAAATGATATATGATGGCCCTGTGCTGATTTGCTGTCTGTCTGTATGTATATGTCGACGCGAATTATTCTCGCGTCAGTTTCTTTAACAGCATATACTCCTGTGCTGAATTGTCAACGCACATATAATGTAATAATGCACACACACACAAAAAATGAGGAGTAGAAGAAGAGTGGAAAACATGTCTGGCGCAGGTGTCCTCGAAATCGCACCACCATACATTTCAGCAGAGGATTTGTTGACGGAGACTTCCATTCAGAAAAACACACATTTTAGCGAGGGTGATGACACATAGTTTTGAGTGCTGGTGCACGGAAGTGACATTCTGTCTTGATTTATTTCTTCTCTTTTTTCATTCCTTGTTGACGAAAACCATGCGATTTCTTTTCTTTTTTGGCGGTGAAGAAAAGATTTGCTGTGTTTGACTGCTGCTGCCATGATGTGAAAAGGAAAATAATACTGATGATATAATAAATATATGATTGAAATGGAAAGTTTTTTTGCGGAGGAAACGAGATGCGTAATATAGTTGTGTTTAATCGTGTTCAACGTGAAGAATATATAGTGATGAGGAACGTTCCGAGGAAAAAAAAAAGTTTTGCCAAGATGAGATTTGCGTGACAATTGTTTTTTTTAATGCCGAATTCAGAAGAGCTTTTTTATCGTTTTGCGCGTAGAGTTCAAAAATTGCGTATATGTGTTAGGAGAAATATATATGCGAATAAACTGCTCTGACGTATTTGATTCCTTATAATTCTGCATTCAATTTTGTGCATTATAAATTTATGATTGAACTTATTTTATAAATCTGTATATTCATCTGAGCTGAGCACAACAAACCGGGTTCCTCTATTTATTCCGCTATCCACAGCTTATTTTTACGCACTTTTTCGCCGAGCCATTCAATATAACAGATTTAAAATTTCTTGAGTGACACCAAAGTTATAATATTTATACTTTCAAATTCAATCCATGCCCTCACTTTTTTCCCCGAAATGAAGATTTCCTCCGTGCGAGCATCTGAATTAATTCATGTTGATTCAAGTACTTCTCTCGTAAAATGCAAACTTTGTCAAATAAATTCTCGAAAATCTTCGTCCTGAAACTGCAACAAAATAAACCTTACCAACAGCAGATGTGATGCA